CTAGCTCTAGCTGTTCAACTACTCTCTCTTTTTCCTCTAATTTACACGAAATGGAGACGAGAGAAACAATATGAAAGACCGAAGAAGAAGGTGTCATGCAGGCGGCTCGGAGGGTATCTTAAACAACAGAAAGGAAGGCTATACATTCTCAAGAACTTGTGGTCATGCTCCTCTGCTGGCATGACTAAAAGTTCCAAGTGAAGAAGCAAGAAATATTCATCGATTTATTATTTCTGTGAATTTGCAGATATAATTTAAGCTCTATTACTTCTTTCTTCTTCGTTTTGTACTTCTTCACAATGTAAATACCACGATAATATAACTTATTCATTGTTAGGATTATTATTACTACTACTAATATTTATAGACTCTTCTTTCCTCTCCTGCATGAATTTTCCACCTTGAGCATTTGTTATGTACATGGAAAATTACAATCAGAATCAAATGCTTCTTTTCAGATTTAATTACATGAATTTCTTCTTCATTTTCTGTTTCTATCTTCGCTGTTTCTGAAGCTAATATATCAGAAAAAAATGGTGCAAAGAGGTTGAATAATTAACTCCTGTATATCACTTGAGAAAGAGCCCCCATTCATACATGAGCTACCTCGTGGGAATTTTCTGGGTATTAATTTAAGTAATTATATTATTATTTGAATCATAGAATCTCACATACATGTATGAAAGATTAGATTTGGTTTGGATTGGATTAAAAATTCTACAAGTTATCTGAGAAATTGAAGAAACTAAGGATGATGATGATGATGATGGTGAAGAGGGATGTGAACGATTAATAATGGTGGAGATATTGAATTAGAACCAGAATTAGAATTAAAAGAGAAGTAACAAAAAAGGACATTGTTATAAGAATGGTGATGATTGTTCATTGTGGTGTCTTTAATGTAGGTTCCATTTTCGCAGGTCTTGTCAACTCACAGCTATGAAATTGCATGTTGAAAGTATTGGTGCTCACATGTGTGTTTGTACCATTTGATAAGACAGTTTTTTTTTTTTTTCTTAAAAAAAAAAAAAACTAATTAATTTTAATTGAATTTTAAAAAGTAATGGGAGACATATGGTACCATAGATTATGGTCTATAAATTGCCAACAAGTTTTATATTACAAATTAAATTGAACCATTGATTGTTATTTCAATCATTTAAGCTTTTCATAAAAAATATCTCTGACTTTGAATTAATTAAGTAAGTGGGAAGGATTTAATTTTGATAAATTTTATTAAATTCAGAAAGAATTAATTAATTTGATGCATGTATATATGAAAGAATTTTAAAATTCATAAAATATATTAAGACAAAACCCACATGAATATTTTTATTGACATTTGTTTTGGCTGCATTTGTATAAGGAAACAACCTACTTTCAAGCTTTCTCCTGTTTATCTGCACATTGTTTGGCTAAATTTATGAAAATTTCATGAACTAAAATTATGAAAATAATTCGATTAGGGGCCATGCCTGCATGTGAATTAACACAATAATTCATTGTATATGTATATAATGGAAACTACATATACATATATTTTCCATATTAGTTAATTGATTATTGTGCTTAATCTTTCCTTTTTAATTAAGAAATTAGTCAACCATGTAAAAGATGCATAAATGAACCATACATATAATGTGTCCAAACCAATGAATCCAACTAAAATAATCAATAGAGTTTCAAAGTCGACATCTCAAAATAACGTATTGATTGAATAACTTTAGTTAATGTTGATATTGTGATTTGTACCAACAAAAAGTACGTAAGATCTGTGAAGGAACCTAAGTAAGAGATTGTATGAATTCTGTTAATAATTTTTATTTTTAAAGTGGTTTGGATGTCATACGCAAATCTTATGTCTACTATTTTTATCTTACTTTCTATGTTTTTCTGCGTACAATTGTTGTTTACGCAAGATATGAATGAGACGTCAAAAAGAAAGATCCTCTAATTTGAGTGAAAAATCCNCATGACTGATCGATCATAACTGGAATAATATTTTATAGAAAAGCCAGTCTAGATGGGTTTAGACTCAAATCCTTCCATTAGATTTGGTTAAGATTTTTTTTTTACATTTCATAGATATTTTTAAAATTTAGAGTTGTTGTTGCGTAATTGGATAACATTATCTTCTAATAAAAAAGATATATGAGACGGGTTTATCGGGAGGTTATATGAAAATTTATACTATTATTGTTCAGTCATATTAGGTTTAAAGGCCTACGATGATGCTAAGGTCATGTTGCAATAAGTTAAAAAGTATAAAAAGACCTATGATGATGATATAGTTGTGTAGCAATGGGTTGAATATAAATATAAAGGGGAAAGTTTATAACAACGCTAGGACTACAATTTTTTTTTTTTTATGATCGGGGGTGTTCGAACCAACTCACAAACATCTTAACTAATCATTCGAGACCCTAGAACGATCGTCGGATAAGAGTTCTAGTGACTACCCTTATTAGCAACCGAGAAGAGAATTGAACTCATGACTATTACTCAAGAGGTAATTAGATAGCATTATCTTCTAACAAATAAGATATACGAGACAGGTTTATCGGAAGGTATATGAAAATTTATACTACTACTGTTCAGTCGTACTAGGTTTAAAGGCCTACAATGACTCTAAAGTCATTTTGCAATAAGTTAAAAAGCATAAAAAGACCTACGATGATGATATAGTCGTGTAGCAATGGGTTGAATATAAATATAAAGGGGAAAGTCTATAACAATGCTAAAACTGCATTTTTTTTTTTTTTTAATGATCGGAGGTGTTCGAACTAGCTCACGAGCACCTTAACTAATCCCCTGAGATCCTAGAACTATCGGTCGGGTAAGAACTCCAGTGACTATCTCTATTAGCAACCGAGAAGAGAATCGAACTCAAAACCTCTTGAGTAATGAACTCAAGACCATTGAACCACTTGACCATCCAAAAGTAGCTACGCTAAGACCGCATTGCAGTAGACTAAAAAAACTATCTTGATCACAATATATTTTGTTTGGAAAAAGATAACGCACCTCTCCTAACAAATGTTGTATTTCGTTAGGAGATGTGTTTTATTCCAATATTTGCATCGGAATATTTTCCCATTGTGATTTGAATAATTGGAAAATTGTCTAATAGATCATAATTTATAGTTTTGCCCTGTAGACGAAGGATGTATGTTTCTCCGAAAGTGTAGATTTAATTAAACCATTGTCAAATTAAAGGAGGAGAATTCTGAGTATAATTACAAGCTCCAGAGTTGACTGCAAATATATACTTGAGTCCAAGAAGTGAAGTTAAGAAATAAGAATGAAGAATGGGGTCTGGTCCAGGTGCAAGCCCCAGAGAGTTTCCCGACGTGAAAAGTGGAATGGGTGAAGCACAAGACAAAACATGTGGGATTACGCTGTGGATAATCTCATTTCCCATTTCCCATTTCATTTTTTGTTGAGTTTAAACAAGTCACTCAGATTCTACTTGCAAATTTTTTGACTTTTGAGCCTTTCTAATAAAACTATTCCTCTTTGTCTCCTCCTTTGTCTTCTTCGTTTTATGCTATCGAGGAACGGACTACTTGTGCTTGTTAACATTTCAAGTTATTAGCTGTACTAACATTAGCTTATTCCAATTCTCCATTTTCTTTCTTCACTATCAATTTCATGCACGAACTCAGAGATACTGTCATTATAAAAAGAGTTGTAGAACGAGATAGACTCTTGAGTATATTCAAGAGTTTCTGAATTCAAGTCTCTTTTTAGTTACTAATATGAATAGTCATTAAAACTCTTACTCGGTCGATAGTTTTAAGATCACAAAGGATTACTTAAGATGCGAAAAAAGTGGCTCGGACATCTCCGACCATTACAAACAAAAAAAAAGTTGTAGAAATAATTAGTTGTGATCAAGTGCCCTTTAAGACATTTAGCTTACCTAAAGTCATCAGTAGATTCAAATTTTGTTTAGATTAATTAATTGCATTTCAAAAGTGCTTATAAGATTTAAAATAATCTATTTTATGACTTATAGTATTGAAATATAAAACATATCCTTATTATATTTTAAAATTTTGACTTGATCTAATCTCATATATCAAAATCGTTTGTGATAAGTTAATATTAAAAAGATCTTTTAAATTTTTATGATCAAACACCAAACACATTTTTCATAACATCTGCTCTAATAAGTTATTTTTTTCATAAGCTTTATTCAGATTAAATTGTACTAGACATGCTTTTAAATTTTACGAAATAATTTTTTTTCTTATTATAATTTTCAAGGACAAGGTATTAGCTGTCAATAAAATATACTATATATGTGTAAGTATATTTGTTTAAAGAATTAATTAATTAAATTAGTGTTAAATTATAAAAGAAGTGATCTCTAACTTGTAAAAGAAAACAACAATCCCAAATAGGACGCAGGAGTATTCATGTGTAAAATAAAGAAATATATTTAATTTTAGCAGCAAACTGGAAATTAGGGTTTATAAAAATATATATTGCCCACGAAGTGATAGTACAATTGTTTGGTAAATAATAAAAGCACCAAGGCAATTGTAATATGCAGTCAAACAGGAAATGACAAGGAAACATCTGAGCTTCTTCAAGAAATATAGGATAAACATCGTCAAGAAAACATGGCAGGATGGGCAGGCCAGCAGTAGTCCTTTCCATATATCTAAACTTAACCCCCTTATATTAATTTTTATCTTTTTTTTTTTTCCCACCATTTTCCATCAATGGCCGACCAACTCTCTTGGTGGATGAAAAAAAACCTCATTAATTTTGGTGAAGACACTGACGTGGCACTCTCTCAGTAGAGTTTTAGAGGGCCTGAGCTCATCATTTTGGACCACCACCACCACCATTCTCTCACTATATAAACACCCTCTTCTCTTTATCTCATTTCAAACATTTTCAGTAATCAGTATCACTACTTCGGGCTTATTTCTTTCTAGCTCCGGCTCTGTTCAAACTACTCTCTCTTTTTTCCTCTAATTTACACAGAAATGGAAACGAGAAGAAACAATATGAAAGACTTGAAGAAGAAGGTGTCATGCAGGCGGCTCGGAGGGTATCTTAAACAACAGAAAGGAAGGCTATACATTATCAGAAGATGTGTGGTCATGCTCCTTTGCTGGCATGACTAAAAGTTCCAAGTGAAGAAGCAAGCAATATTCATCTGTGAATTTGCAGATATAATTTTAAGCTCTATTACTTCTTTTCTTCTTCGTTTTTGTACTTCTTCCCAAATGTAAATACCAATGAGAATATTAACTTATTAATTGTTGTGGATTATTATTACTTCTACTAATATTTATAGACTCTTCTTTCCTCTCCTGCATGAATTTTCCACCTTGAGCATTTGTTATGTACACGGAAAATTACAATCAGAATCAAATGCTTCTTTTCAGATTTAATTACATGAATTTCTTCTTCATTTTCTGTTTCTATCTTCGCTGTCTCTGAAGCTTATATATCAGAAAAAAATGGTGCAAAGAGGTTGAATAATTAACTCCTGTATATCACTTGAGAAAGAGCCCCCATTCATACATNAGATTTTTGTTTGTATGATTTTATAATAAACTTGTAAACATAATAATTGGATGGACGGGCGTCCTTTAAATATGGATGTCCGTCCTTAGTAAATGGACTCCCGTCCATATAATATGGACAGGAGTCCATGTAAGTGAACGACCGTCTATATTTGATGAACTACCGTTCACTATAAAAAGTTTAATAATATCAAATGTGTTAAATGGTCTGAGTCGGAGAACACATAGATCGATATAAAAATTCGGTGTAAAAACCCTGGTGTGTATAGTATTGCTGTGATATGAAATAAGGTGGATGAGATTCGAGAGTGAGGGTGGTCACGTGAAGTGTGTATGGAAAATAAAGAGAAAAAGATGTTGTGTTTCCTTTTCAGGGCCCTAGCTTACTTGTTAGGTGATGATTTGATGGATATAATACGGACCATAAATGGTGATTCATGTATTAAGGGTGGCAAAGCAGGCAAGTAGGCCCATTCCTTGTTTGTCAATATCACCTACCGACAGCTTTGTGATCTTGGTTTTTGTTCATTCCTAAATATTATGTAGATTTCTTTCATTGTATATTCGTATCTAATTTATTTTTATTTATTTTATTTTGGGGTCATTATCTCATGATCTTTGATGTAGAAATTAATACTATGCCCACCACTCCACTACTCTTCACACGCACTTCTTGTGGTGTGGGGTTTCACTTTCACTTACTACTTAACAACTTCCCATGCTCTCAATTTGTTTGAATCTCAACTTCTTCTAATAATATTGGTTAAGATATTTTCTAGTTTTTTCACCAACTCCTTTCCCTTTATGAAATAAAATACTGCTATATTCTAGATCATGTCAATTAAAGGCTTTCTGTCTCGCTCTCCTCTGGTCATTTTATCCTAAATGTGGGCTTTTTGTCCATTACTTATGGGTTGACAACACGTTTTATTTTGGGCCAAAAACTTAGGGTCATTAAAATTACCAAGTTGAATTAAGGCCCAATATTAAAAAGCAATTGAATCTGTCCATTTTTTTTTGGGGAGAAAGTTCGGCGTGTTTGGTTCACTATTCTATTAATTTTTTTTAGTTAGATTTTTAAATTGCGTGTTTGGCACATTAGTTTACTTTTTTTTTTTTAACTTATTTCTTCTTTTCTCTCGTTCTTCTTCGATTTATATATGGCTTCCACTTTCTTCATAGATCAAAACCAGTGATCGCCACCCTCTTCTACATTTCTTCTTCAAAAATTACAACAAAAACCGCCACCCTCTTCCACGTTACAACTACCATAACACTCTCTTTCACCTGCATTCAAAAACACCACCCAAAAACACCTTCTTCCGCCACTTAAGACTCAAGAAACACCACCATCTTTTGGTTTCCTCCGACAAACCAAGGCCAACAGGTACGACCACGATCACCCCTTTCCCCCCGCAACTCTGTTTCTATATTGCTTTCTATGTTTTTCTGTGTACAAATGCAACTTACACAAAATATGAATGAGACGTCCAAAAAATCTCTCTAATTTGGGTAAAAAGTCGGTTTATTTACTGTTACAATGATAAACTTATAAATAAAATTAACTTAAAATGAAATGACACATAACGTGAATCTGTCCATTTTTCTCGGGAGAAGGTTGATTTTTAATTTTTTAGCGTCCACCTAATTGATGAGCATCCCTTATTATTAAATACATATCTTTTATAATTTAAAAAAAGATAAAAATTTCTTTAAAACCCGTTTAATAAAAAAAATAGCCCTCTAAGCTTAGTTAGATTTATTTTTCCCAATTCTAAACTTAATTAGGCTTTTAGCTTTCCACCTTTTTTTCTCAAAATTTCAAATTTAATTAGATATTTGTTTTCTCCTTTGCCCCATGATTTACTCAAGGCCATGACGGTAGATTGCTATAAAAAAAAAAAAAAAAAAAAAATGGTTATGTTTAAATTTGGGCATGCATTGGGTTGATTTCGATTTGGCAGTGCCAATTAGTTATCAATTTCTCTTCCTATCTCTTTCCTAGCTCAATCTCCAAGTGAGATACAATCCTCCCTACCACCGTTGTAAGCAGAATTGCTGCCTTTGTGTAGACCCATTAACTGATAAGTGATTTCAGTCTCTCCTTGACTGAATTTCATCAGAGTTGATATTAACGACAACAGAAAAAACACTGAACGTTCTCATTCATTGGATAAGTTTAATCCTAGGCATAATTCATTAATGGGGTGTACATATAAATTGTGTGGGGTTTATATAACATCACTCTCTTTTTTCTTTGAATAGTCCAATAACACAAGACACTGAAGACGCACCAGTCCTTTAATTAAATTACAGAGCTTAATTAAACGGGTGGTAATCAGTATGCAGTAAAAGCAACTGAACAAATACGTGGTGTTTACTTGGAGAAAAGGAAACAGCGGGCGCAGAACAGAACCAATCCAACAATTTAAGCCGCGGTTTTACAAAGGCGGGAGAAACTTATATATTTCCCGCAATATTTTCCTCAGAGCCAAACACTCCACTCCCGTAAACCTTGGACTATTATTCTATCTTGTTTTACAGCTTTGAACCTAAAAAAGTAAAACCCTAGTTTTGGTAATTGACCCAAACTCTTAAATTAGCCATGGAGAATACAAGCGATAAGCCGGAGTGCGCACAAGAGTCGCTGGATCTTCTCAATTGCGTTACACAATCGCCGTTCGATCAAGAAAAATGTCTTCAACTCATGCAAGCTTTAAGAGAGTGCGTCCTTCGCAAGGTATATATTTGATCGGATCCACTGATTTATGGTTATAATTTAGCTGAAATTTCGAAATTCTTTCATGTTCGAGTTCTGAAATTGAATCAGATGTTATTTGCATAATAATCTGGCTGTTTTTGAACCTGTTTTTAATGTTAATGGTTTGGTTTTTACAAGTAAAAAACGTTTTGTTTCATGGTAAACGGAATGTGTAAATGAAATGCTTAGAACTTGAAATGTTTCAAAAACTTCAAATAATTATGAGTTTTTAAGTGTTCATTGTGCTTGATAGATTCAGTTTTCCTGCAAAGGATTAGTTTTTGAGTTAGTGAAACTGCTTGTTTAGATAACCAATTGTTAAAATTTCTGTCCCAGCCAGAACAAAAACATTAAGGAAATACAGCTTTGTAATCTTGGGGTTCTTGCTTTATGTTTTAATCAGAAATTTTGGAATTCTTGACTTCTCGGTGTTTAGAACAGATCATTTTAACTTCCAGGGCATTTTCCTTTCTCTTTGAGGATTATATCAATTCATCAAAGGCATTTATGATTACCGTTCCTTTCTGCTTCTCACCCACATATAATAGGTGGATCCCATTGAATATTAAGCTTGCTTTAATGAACATAGCCTTTTATTTAAGTTTACCCTTAAGACTGTTATTGGGTTCAGAATAATGAAGATACTGCCATGATCCAGAGCCTTTCATGATTTTAGATTGTGAAAATGAAATGCTTATGCATCAAAGCAGTGTAAATCATAAATGGAGATGAACCTAATTGATCTATAAATCAAAATGCATGTTATCACATTGAAACAAATAATACTTGATTAATGTGGAATCCATCAATTTAGCCTCACTATCTCAGACACTGTTCTCCATGAGACTGGTAATTGGCTTCCACCTTGATGATAGAAACTTAAATTTGATATGAAACTTGAACATGCCTTTTTCATAATTCGTTATTCTTGTTCACTCAATGACCTTTGTTTATGGTTCTTCATATGAACTTTACGCATTTATGTCTGTTCTGCTGTTCTTTTGTGCTTTTTCGTTGCGGAATATATTTTAACCTTCTCTTTTATTTTCTCCACAGAAAGTGAAGAAGTTTTCATTAGCTGACCAAGGCCAGCAGGAATCAGGCCCGACCAGCAAGAAAGCTTGAGAATTTTAGTACTGTTAGGATTCTTAATTTGAAGAAACCTTTTTTACTTATTTTTTTCCTTTTTCTTTCCGTTTTGATGGGGAATTCTATTAAGATATGATAGATCACCCAAATATTATGAATCTGCATATCCATGAAGAATTTTTGAAGTTGAAAAAGGAATTATTATCATTCAGTCCTGTTTTAAATTTTATTGGCAGGATTCATAAGTGAGTAATTTGTTTCTAACATTTGAATGTTCATTTTGTAATAGTCTAGTGTTACATGGAATAACAGAAATGGCGCCGTCTCGTCTTGATATTAGCTGAAGTAATATGTGCCTAAATAAGGTATGCCTTAACAAAAGCAAACCTATTCATTTATAATATTGTTGAGGTGGCAAAGTAGTGAAATGCAGCCGTTTGTCTTTCCTTTTCACAAGACAGTTGTGGCGATGAGTGGTATTAGTTACACTAGGCTTCTGAATCCTTTCTGGAAGTGGAATGTGAAAGCTTATTGAGGTGGAAACTGCTTATCATGTTTTATTATATGCTTGATTCCTTTGGTTATTGGCTTACTGTTAGTTGCTTTCTGTGTTCGCCATTTCATTGTCTAGATCAATGCAATCACAGTACTGTCTAACATAGGAATAACATTATCAATGCCCAACAACAATTCGTCAAAGTACATAAAAACTACATACAAACAAGCCCCAATATCTCAGACGAATCAAACATACGAATCATCCAACAAATTATATCGCACTTTCTTGCCATATCCTAACTCCAAATCCCCCGACAATCGCAAAAATTTACAAGCTTTTAATAAAAGTCAGCGGCGTGAATGAGATAGGTGAGCACCAGCGCCACCAACATCAGCACATATGCAATCCCTTGGTCGATAGATGTCCCTGAAACCATTAAAAACCAACCCCAATTCAATGCCAAAGTAGAGCCCACTCTACACGAAAACAAATCTTATAATCTGCATGTTTCTTCACTTTCCGTGGACGTCTTTGAAGACAAAGAAAACCAAATCCTAATATATGTTCACCATTAATTCTGACATTCGTTCATTATATAATGGTCAAGCATTTGAATTTAAGTTTTAACGTTCTCCATAACTTGCTTTCCAACAAACACATCATGTTCAATCACACAAAGCTATTACTAAAATTTCATAACCCAAATCAAATCCGAATATCAGAAACCAAACATGAGAAAAGAAAAAAAGAAGAATCTTAACGATGAATGAGACAATATCAATTAATCATTTGGGATCTGCAAAAAAAATACTTAAATCTAAGCCAGTATACATAAAAAAAAAAAATTAATGAGCAAAAAGAACTAACCGTCACTGGTGGGGGCAGGAGCGGGCCCGGAAGCCTGAGCATAAGTAGCAGGCAAGAAAATAGCAAAAATGAGAGCAGCAGCAACAGCCACAACTACAAATGAAACCCTAGTAACCGCCATTTCTCTCTTTATTCAAATTTCAAAAACTCGGATCTCTCTCTGCGAAGCCTCTCCCAAACTTCTGTTAAAATAAGCGGCTCAGGGATCAGGAGAGCCGCGCAGAGAGAGAAAACGACAAATTTAACAAAACAGGCGAGAAAAAAGAATAAAGGCTCTCTATCTAAAGAGAACCTAAAGAGAGAGAGTGGGAATAACGATGATGCTATGGCGTTGAAGAGTCGGGCTTAAGATTGTTTTATTTATAGTATGTGTATTGTCTGGAAGTAAAATAACTGGTGAAGCCGGTAACCAGGAGACGGGTGAGAATGTGGGGTCAGGCCGCCTGTTGCGGATTGAACATCAAAGTTAAAAGGCTGAAAGGCCATGTGAGCTCACTTTTTCTGGATTCCCGCCAGTCTGTGATCACAGTTGGCGCCATATGCTCTGATTCTGATTCGCCCACGTTCTCTGCCAGCTTCGCCCTTTTTTTTTTTAATTACTATTTCTTTATCTCCTCCCTTAACTTATACAGTCCTTTTTTTACCTTCTGTTTCTAGTAATTTCATAACGTAAAACAACAGAAAACAAATAATTTTAATTAAAGGAAAATTGTTTTTAACAAACAAAATTTTAATTAAATTTTGTATTTATTTATAAACAAAATATTATATAATTTATTTATTTAATATTATATTATGGGTGTCACATTGTTGAACTGTAAACCTATAAGTTAATGAATGTGTAATTTTGAATTAATTAATAACTACTTATTCCATGTCTATTTTTATATTGTTATATTAATATTAGTTTATGGTTTAAAAAAGTAGTGGGTTTAGAGCATTTCAAAATGTCTTTTTATATGACCTAAAATTTTTATTATAAAGAGTTTATTTATTAAAATAAGAGTTTAACAGACTTTTTATCTTTAAAATATAAATTAAAGAGTGAGTTTGACTCTCCACATTTAGAGAGTCAAATTTCACTTTTTATCCTAATTTTAATTAATAAACTATAAGTTCCTATGTATTTTATTTATTAATTCTTTCTCCTATTAAGTTTCTTTTTTAAAAATAAAGAGCATCTTGATTAAATTTAAAGAGTCTATTGAATTTGAATAAAAATTATATTATTTATATTTTAAAATTAATGAATATACTTTTTATTTATACAAAATAAAGAACACAGTTAAAAATAATTTGGATTTGGATGATTGATGGGTTAAGCTGGATTGGGTTGAAATTGATCCCATTTTTGTGCCTTAAATTCCTCATTTTTTTTAATCCGGCTATACTACCCTTTATCCTAATTCCGTCATGTTGTTGTTTGAAATGAATCATACATATCCCTTTGGGCTTTGTCCTGATTCCGTCATGTTGTTGTTTCTGGCAGATGAGGGAAATGGTAATTTTGATCTTATAAAAAACGGAAATGCTAAAGGTACAGAGTCTTTGTATAAAGTGATGCGGTAACTGCCACACCATTAGTTTTATATCAATCTTTTTTTTCTTTTCACAAACTATTGGTGTGATAGCTGTCACATCATTTTGTACAAAGACTCTTACACATATAATATTTCTCTATAAGAAAGTGTTTCGCAAACCTAAATACAATGTGACAAGGTTAGAGCAAAGGGGTATCTATGATAAATATTTTAAACCTTGAGGGCCCATTTGATAACACAAAAGGGTATCTATGATACAATTACAAACTTTGAAGGGGTGTTTGATTCAGGGAATGTTGGATTACTGGGAATATTGGATTACTGAAAAGTTAGATTATCTTGAAGATTACTAGGAATCTTTAGGAAAATATGTTTAGTTAATTGGTAGGTATGTTATATTAATATGTTTGGTTGGGAGGAATAAATTGGTGAGTATGTTATTTAAATTACTGAATTGTCCTCTAATTAAATATTATTATAATATTGATTATTATTTGGATTATTATAACCCCTCTGCATTTAAAAACTTAGCAAAAACAACTTCATAATAAAAGTTTGGAAAATCAACAAAGCACCCCCACCAACCCAACCACTGCTGGCCGCCGACAACCACCATAAGCCGTCGGCAACCTAACGGTGCACGGAAGGCAGGAAATGGCCTCTGTGCGCCATATGGCCATTTTCGACCAGAGATTTGATCGGAAATGGCCAGCCATGACAATCTGGCTGTCGACGATCAGATCTAATCTGACCGGAAATGGCCATATTGGCGCACGACGCCATTTTCGACCTTTTGTGCGCCGTTCTGGTTGCTGGCCACGGCGGCGGTTGCCGACTGCAAGTGGGTGAGGGTGGTGGCTTGGGTGGGTTGTAATTTATTTTGAATTCAAGGATAATTTTGTACAAAAAATTAATTAATTGGGGTGAAATAGTAAAATCTATATTCATGTAAATAAATTTAAAAATAAGGACATTATTATCCTAAAATTTTATTAATAAGAGATAGAATTGTAACAAAAAAAGATAACCCTGGTAATCTTAGAATACCTAATAAAATAAGGGTAATCAGATTACTTATAATATTACTAATAATAACCACTATTGGTATTTGAAGATTACCGGTATCTTATATTACTTGACAACTAAACATGATAATTAAGTAATATAAGATAATTTAACCCCAATAATCTCACATAATCCCCACTCAAACGCCCCCTGATAATAGTCTATAATAAAAAAATATGAAATCTTTTATCCTAACGATAAACTTGAAAAACTGTAAGGATGGTTCATGACAATGTAACGTAGTAATTGAGCTAAGATTATTGAACTGTCTTCAGTTTGAAACAACAACTAGTCTCAACTTGGCCAAGAATCATTTTGTTTTTGAAGATTCCCAGCTCAATAACAGCTCTTCAAATTTTACAACTAAAAGATAAAAAATGAACAGAAAATTTTCAAGTGAAAAGAGAAAAAGAAAAAGATTAAATCGTTTAGTTTTTCAGCACGTCAGAAAATTATTTATTTCAGAGTCCCATGAATGTTTTGTGGTAGGTTTTTTCCAGACTGATTTAAGAGTATTTGACATCATGTCAAATTTGCCGAATGGTTGGCCCAGAAAACCCATTTCTGGATCATTTTTCTCAAATCTGGAATGGAGATTTGTCTAGTTACATCAATCTTTCTGTCTTTTTCGTCGTTGTAGATTTCTTCTGGGAAGATAAGATCCATCGTGTTCCCAAATAGGATCATCTCCACATTTGGAACATTGACAGTCAAGGTCAAGGGGGTTATAACCTATAACTAGATCATATAAATGATACAATACACTAGAGCACCAGAAGGTTTGAATAAACTATGGGAAGTCCAGGTTCTCAAGCTACTGTAGCAGGTGACACAAGGTCACAAGAGTGATCATGAATTGAATCCTACAGAAACTCAAAGATGGAGCACTGGTACTACTGGAAACTTAAATCTGATGGTGACTCTTCCGTCCCCATTATCGTGCATGGTTGAGTCTGTATAAACTGCTGAAATTTCTTTATAGCAAATAAAATATGCATTATTGAAGGCTTTGTCCTGAAGCGGCATCGATAATTGAAATTCTAGATATTAGTGATAAAAAATAAGTAGATTATCAATAATAAAGCTGTCATATCATTCTTTGCATAATCAATAACCCAACCAACGGTACCGAAAGCTACAAGACAATGTCAAATTTATTGATTCTAATTGAAATCAAACTTGGCAACGTAAGCTGATCCTGAATCAGTACCCATTTCCAACTAGATAAGTTAGCAGCAGCAATAAGTTTCCAGTACCTGCTATAAATACATGAAGAAAAACGAGTTTTTGTTGGTGCAAAATTTATGGCTATGCCCACGAATGATAAGTGGATATATATTGTCTGGATTATGTTGTTGTAACTTGTCTCATTTCATAATGTTCATGTTCATGCCCTGGATAAGATGTCACTTGTTATTTTCATATTTAATGAAAGATGACCTTGGCTACTCTCTTGAAAACTACCGCACAGACACTGATTAAATTCTTCGTACTTAATGTTTGTGTCATGAACTATTTATATTACGTGTCAACTGTAACCATATCATGATCATATTTAAACGCCATATAAATTCATTTATTTATCCGTATATAGATTATTGATAATTGATTTTACACACCAAAGGCCCGTATATACGAGTACTAAGAGAATCTTAAAAATTATACGTGATAGATCAATGAGATTGGAATATGGTGCTGAGATTATATATGTTGTTGAAAACATAAATAATAGACTGACAAGAGAGATTTTATAGTGGTTCGGATGCTTAAAACAAATCTTACATCTACTGTTATTTTATATTCTTTGGCTATTTTTATGATATTGCTCGTAAGGCATACAAAGATGGAGAAATACTTTGTTTACAGAGAAAAATAATGAAGCTTAAATTTATGTGTAGCTCTCATATGCCTAACCTTCTTTTTTTGTGAAGAGAAGTGTCAATTTATACACCTCTGAGGTCAATGTATTAATGTAATGAGCGTTTTGCAAGTTGGCTTGACACATGGACAACTCTTATCCGTTCTTCTCTTAAAATGAGATAGAGTTGGTATAAGATATCTTTGAGGCGGTATGAGCTTGACAAGAAGTACAATTTGCCTTTTAAGCACTTATTGAGTTGACATCATCGTGACTTTTTATGCATAACATAACCCCCCTAGTTTTTGGAGTGTGTAATCACGCTTAAAAAACTCAAGTCTTTGATCTGAATGGATGTCGCACTGCAGGCTGCAGTAGTGTAGTCTCGAATTGAAGAGCTCGAACTATGCCTAGCGCTATCGGGTGTTGAGAGATAGGACTGCGATCTGAAAGCTTGGAGTGATCCGAAGCCGAGCGCGATCTGATAACTGACATGAAATGTCCAATAGATGAATTCCTGGAGGGAGCTAGCGTCAGAAGCCCAAACGCACGACTTAGAGGCCTTAAACGGATAAGCCAACTTAAAACAGCCATAACTTTTGATCCGGGAGGAGTTTTGGAGCCCATAAGATATCCACGGAAAGCTTGTTCTGAGCTCTACATCGTGGCAATATGTGAACTTGGTTGGGGCCATTTTTGGGGCCAAAATCCACCGTTTCAGCATGTTTCGGGGCTGTTTTAAGTTTTATACATGTTTTTTCTAACGCAGCTGGTCACAATCTGAGAACTGAGAATTGATCGCGATCTGAAATTTGAGAACACGACCTGAGGCTATTCGCAATATCAGAGCTACGAGCTGATCGTGATTTGAGAGTTAGGAGCTAA